TGGGAAAGAGTCATAAAACTCCGAAATCGGTCACGCCACGGTTTACGCTGCACAGCGGCTTCCTTACGAATTACTAATAATCGTCCAGAAAGGTCCATTTATCGTCGTCAAACGTGTTTCCACGATTTTTGCTCAACATCTGCGGTAGAAGGTTACTCGACCCGGAGCGCAATCCTTTAGTTCTCACTCTCCATCTTATTCTCGGTTGGCGTGGTGCCAAGTGAAAGTCCCAGTTACCATATCATTTTAGAGAGTCAACGATTCAGAGTTTCGGAAATCCATGCAGGAGGGGCTGGAATAACCGCTCGACGTTGAATCGCCGGCGCTGTCGCAAGATAAAGGGGCGCTGCGACGGCAACGCATTTGATAGTGTCGAAGTGTATATCTCTTTTTTGTATTGAAAGGGACTAAGCCTTAGGCGAAAAGGGAAGCGCCAGGGTGCTTGAGCAGTTTTCATTTTCAGGCTTATCTTAGGCCTAGTCCAAAGATTCTCCCCGCTCTCCATTCGCCCTAAGTCGGTTGATCTTCTTCTCCGCGTAAATCTCGCGCAGTCGCAGGGTCCACAGTCTCTCCTAGGCGTCACCATTTGCTCTTGTCCACGGCATCTTCTGCGTGATCATGACCTCAGTGAGGTCCTTATGACGTCCTTCATCCCTCCTTAAGGGGCTCTCGATGTCGCTTGCTTGCACTTCGACGTCCAGCACGAAGTCGATTTACTGAAGGTGAAAAACCTTGAGTTGCAAACAGTTGGCCGCTGCAAGGTACTTTTACCAAAACCAAGTCAAGTTCAAACGCCACCACAGTCCTGAAGAAGACGGAGCCACTTTTCGAAAGCGGGTTTAATGACAACAAAGTTATCCTTTTCATGCTCACTGAAGGCACGGTAACCCCTCGATTCACAAACGGCAATCGAAAATTATAAATTGATCGTCGAGGGCGTTTAGTATATCATAAGTCCATTACTATGGCTTTTGGTGTCGTGCATACCGCTCGAGAATTAATTCGGCTTCTTTGCAACATCTGATTCCGTTGAAAAGCTGCGTCTTCTTGGTCATTCAGATTCTTTTAGAGACATTTTTTCGTATGTAAGCGATGCCGCTGGACTCAGGCGCCGCGATGGCAATCTTCTTCTGAATCACTCGCCAAAACATTGGCAGAGCAGGTCGCTCGCCGCCATCTGACGCTCTTGCACAAACCTCTGCTTCCCCTTAGTTTTCTAAGAAGTAATTTTCTAGTAGATTTTCTTGTAAGAAGTGCAATATCGACTTTCTCTTAATCTTGGGATGGAGATTTTTGCAGTGAACACCTTATTGAAGCCTCTCCAAGATTCCAGCATTTTATAATTCACGTATCGGTCTCTCCACTTTCACTGAAGCTCGAAACTTTGAGAAACACTCGAGATAGGTCCCCTCATAGGTCCAAGCAACCCCGTAGACATCTACTCTAATGAACAAACTACTGTAATAGTATTGAATTTGAAGTATTTATTTATTTATTTATATTAT